TGGCCAGATCTACTAGTATACCCTTCTGGTTGACGAGGTTTACAAGGAACTGCACCTCGCGAAACCAAAACTCACACTTGGAGAACTTCGCAAAAAGTCTCTCCCTCCTCAGCATCTCTAGCACCTCTCTCAGGTGCTCCTCGTGTTGTTCCTGAGTCTTGGAATAAACCAAGATGTCATCAATGAACACTATCACAGACCGATCCAACATCGATCTGCATACGCAGTTCTTGAGATCCATGAACATGGATGGAGCATTGGTGAGCCCGAACGGCATCACCACAAACTCATAATGACCATAGCGGGTCCTAAAAGCGGTGTTCTGCACATCCTCATCCCTGACCCGCATCTGGTGATATCTTGACCGTAGATCAATCTTGGAGAACCAAGATGCTCCCTGAAGCTGGTCAAACAAGTCGTCTATCCTCGGGAGTGGGTAATAGTTCTTCACCGTTACCTTGTTCAGCTCCTTGTAATCTATGCACATATGGTACGACCCATCCTTCTTCCTCACGAACAGGATCAGGGCTCCCCATGGTGAACTACTCGGATTGATGAAACCCTTGTCTAGCAGCTCCTATAGCTACGTAGACAACTCTAGCATCTCTGGAGGAGCCAACTGATATGGTGCTTTGGCTATCGGAGCTGCACCCGGAACCAGGTCAATCCGAAACTCGACCTGTCTTTCTGGAGGTATCCCAAGTAACTCCTCCGGGAATACGTCCGGATACTCTCGCACTACTGGTACATCGTCAACTGTATCCTTACCCTTCTCCCGGGCATCTATAACATAGGCAACATACCCTGCACAACCCTGCTGAACGTAGCGTCTTGCGCTCGCTGCTGAACAAAGGACTAGTCCGCGCTGTGGCCTCTCGCCCTGAATTACTAACTTTCCCTCACTGGGAGTGCGAACCCTCACTAACTGCAACTCACAATCAATCATTGCCCCATTGGGGCTTAGCCAATCCATACCGACTATAACCTTATTCCCTCGCAGGGGAATAGGAACCAAGTCTACTGAAAACTGCTCATCAAATAACTACAACGAACACCCCCTATGTACTCTCGCAACCCTGGCGATCCTATCATCCGCTATGTCAACCTCAAGTGGACAATCCAACTCCCTCAGAGCTCTGCTAAACTTCTTGCTAAGCGCAAGTGAAACAAATGATTGGGTTGCCCTCGAGTCAACCAATACTATAGCTGAAATGTCGTTCACTAAGAACGACCCTATACAAAACATATAACCATAAGAAACAATCAATATCAATAAAAAAATAAGAGGAAAATACATACCCGCCACCACATTAGGAATCGCTCGCACCTCCTCTGCTGTCATCTGGAAAGCTCTACTCTTCGCCACTGGCGCCTCACCCCGGCCCTGACGGCCATCTGTAATCCTCAAAGTAGCAGGGGTAGGTGCCGCCACCTTCCTTGCTGCTGCCAAACTCAGACACAGGGACTTTTTATGTCTCCTCTGATTGCAATGGAAGCAAATCAGATCAGATGCTATGGTGGTGGTGGTAGTAGCTGTACAATCTCTGCTCATATGTCTAGTCCGGCCGCACTTGTAGCAACCGAGACTCCCTTTCCTTGCATGCCCTATCTTGCAATCTCCCACACCGACTATGGCTCTGCTATCCCCTGGACCTATGATCTGATACCTTGGGCCTTTTACCCGAACTCCCCGTACCAGTAGCCACCTCTGACTTCCTCTTCCTCTCGATCTCCAAATCTATCTCCCTCTCACGAGCCCTCGCAATCATATCATCCAACGTTTTACAGCTGGACCGGCTCATAAACTGATGGATATCACTCCACAACATCTCATGATAACGGGCCTTCTTCATTTCCTCATCAGTTGCGTACTGAGGAATGAGAAGAGCCCTCTCCCTGATCTTAGCGGTAATCTCCGCCACTGTCTCTGTAGTCTGAGTGAGATCCTGAAACTCCCTAGCTAACTGCTACACCTCAATAACCAGTGCAAACTCGGATATGAACTTGGTAGTAAAATCACACCAGATCATTGCATCATGAGATGAGTCATCCCCAATGGTATGCCCGATCTCCTCCCACCAGTCTCATGCCCTGTCCTTCAGAAGACATGATGCTAGTCAGATCTTGTCCCCCTTAGGACATCTGCTGGTGCAGAATGCGTTGGCGACATCTGCCAACTACCTAGTACTCCTTATGGGGTCACGCACCCCATGGTAGTCAGGAGCTCCACAAGCTCTGAATTACATAAAAGTGAGGGTACGTGACCCCATCATGGTCGTCATGTTAGCACAGAATGTGCTCAACCTCTCATCCATTAGCTCCAAAATACCCTCCTTGATCGAATCGAATATCACAGGAGTATGCTCGAGTATGATACGAGTAACCTATAAGGAGAGAAACTCCCTAGTCTGATCATCCAAATGATTGGCCCCCGAGCCTAATCCCGATCCCTCACCGGAACCTGAATTGCCGACTATTGGTCTAGGGCGTAAAACCACCATTCTGAAAACACACAATGACAAACGTCCGAAATACAAATATATCTCGAGGGATCGCTACTACTACAGTTTCCTGGTCTTATCTCAGCCTTCCTCGATTTAAGTACGGATCCTCTACTTTCAATAGTATGGGCCCACACTACCTTCCACATATATCCGTATTTTCCTCAAGAACTGCCTTGACTCCACCGAGTCACTTCTACTGCCACTGATCTCTGCTACTCTCATCGTAGGCTTACCCTAGGTAAATCTCTGATTCTCCCTAAAAAAAACCTGTCCTCAGCTGCTGAAGACCTTATTGTAATGCCAAACAGCCACCACGTGGATACCATAAGATGCAATGAGGCTCAGATAAACCTTTGAGTAAGGGACTCATCCCTACAACGGTTAGGACTCAAACAAGAGCTGCGCAATAGGGTCAAATCCAACACTCTGAGATTATTCAACCCTGATTGCATGTGACTTAACGTATCCACCTAATAGCTAACTCCCATCACTCCGAGTCCCAAAAGGACAAAGCAAGCAGCATTCAGACAAAGGAAACTATTCAAGCAAATCTAGCCTCATAACAAGAGACTGTACTAGCATACAATGCTAAACTCATACTATCAGGCATAACCTAAACAGACTATCCTACTACTGTCTATTCAATACTAGTATGCAATTCTCATAAAGCTGAAAAAATATAGCAGGCACATAAGGCATCCTCCTAGATCTTTGCTCATATTCTAGCATGCTGCTCTACTGTAACCGTAACTGATAATCATAACATAAACTTGTATGGGTAATTTGGTAGTACTTACTTGAGCTCGGCTGATCGCATGCACCACACCTTTTTCTTTGCTTTTTCAAAAACTCTTTTCTTTTTAAGTTTCTTTTTTCAAAAGTTTTCTTTCGAAAATGTTTTTCTTTTGAAAACCTTATACAAATTCCTTAGTTTGAGTTCAGACACACCAAGAGTGTGCCCGAATCCCTCAAACCAAGGCTCTGATACCAACTTGAATCATTCAAAAAATACCACCCAAAATTTTTTGTTTGAAAACTTTACAAACCATAATATTAATTACCAAAAGATAAAACCATGAATCATGTATCTCAAAGTTTCATAATAAATTTATCAAATCGAAACTAGTGTCAAAATCATATCAGAATATAAGAGTCTATCTCCCAGGCTAAACTGTGGTGTGTGCCATGCCATCGTACCGAGCCCTTCCCTTTGCTACCTGAGGTACCTGAAATAAAAAACTAAAACTGTAAGCACGAAGCTTAGTGAGCTCCCCCAAACTACCACATACCATACAATAACACATAAAGAAACTACTAGGTCTTACCCACTCCATCGGACGAAAGTCCAGAAACTGCATCGGACCGAAGTCCGGAAACTGCATCGGACCGATGTCTAGAACTAACCAGGGCCTTACCCTCTACATCGGTCCAAAGTCTGGAACTAACCCGGGCCTTGCCCTCTGCAAGTCCGGAATTGACTGAACATAACATGGCATAACATAACTACTCGCATAAACACATATAAGGCATACTGCATCAGACCGAAGTCTGGAACACACAACAGAAAAATAGGCTTGAATCACAAAGACATCAAGCACACTAAACTACTGCATTGAACCAAAGTCCGGAGCTACTGCTAACTTAACGGGCCAGCATTGTTGCCGTAGACCCGTTCCTACTGGAAGGAAACTCACCTCGTAACGGTGGTTGCTGAGATGCTAAGTCTGAAACTGTTTGACTGCTGCTCCGGAACTCCCCGGCTACAAATCCCATAAACACTAATTCAAATACTGATAACTAATCTCAGGGTAAAAAGACTATTTTACCCCTGGTCAAAGTCAACATCCTGGTCAAAGTCATCTTTCAGTTGACTGGACTCGTCGAGTTGGGCCGCCAACTCACCGAGTCACTAGCATTCTTTCTAATCTTCTACCCGCTTCTATTCATCGAGTTTGGCAAAGACTCGACGAGTTCTTCTTCGATACTAACATCGAGTCTAACTTCATCCGACTCGCCGAGTTGTATGAACAACTCGTCGAGTTCTCCTTCATCATATGAACTCGTCCAGTCTATGACTCGCCGAGTTATATGAACAACTCATCGAGTCTGTTCTTGAGGCAAGAAGATTACCTTGGACTCGCCGAGTCCAAAGGACGACTCGTCGGGTTTCATGCATTTCATTACTATATAGTCGATTCTAGTCGATTTCAGTGCATCCAATCCATAGATCTGGGCTGCTAGGACTGGTTTTACACGTAAAGTTTCCAACTTTACGTGCATGCACAAGAGAATGGGGCTAGAACACCAAAATCATCCAACAATAAGCACATAGGGTTTGGAACAAGGCTATATTTGCATAGATCTAGTCGATTTCAGATATTTTGAACATCCCGCTCTTTTCGTTTTTCTTATAAGAATACTTATCATACCTTCTTATCTACATTGCCTCTTTCTTTCTATCATTCTTCCTCAATTCCGTTTTCTTTCCTCTTTTTCATGGCGAGTCCCCCAGGCATCGTGCCCACTGCTTCTGAGTATTCGTATCTCGAAACCACCTATGGCCTCACTTCTCTTGATGGTGTGGAGTTTCCTTCACCAGGTTCCTCTATCCTTTTCCTTCCTCCTTGAAAATTTAGAATCTACCAAAAAACCCTAGATGCTGGCCTTCGTCTCCCCTTGACTGATTTCCAAGAGGAGGTGTTCCAGAAAGCGACTGCAGCGTTCAAATGCTGACACCCAATGCCGTAAACAAGGTCGTCACTTTTGAGATGATATGCTGGGATAACGGTTATCTTCCTGACTATTTTGTGTTTAAGTATTTCATTTGCTTTTGTTGTACTGGTGATAAGTTCACATTTTCCATTCGTCAAAGAGGACATACCCTAGTGCCTGACGATCGAACGCTCAAAAACTAGCAAGATAAGTGGTTTTGGGTTAATCAGGTGTCACACCCCGCTAAAGCGGAAACGCAAGGTATGACAGCGATAACGGTTTCAATGCAAAAGATAAAGATACATCACCATAGAAGTATTTAAAAGTTTACAACCCATAGCTTCAAAAGAAACAAAATACAAGTTTTTCAAAATAACATTGTTCAAAATATAGCTTCATAATAGCTTCAACACGATGCAGCATGCTCTATGATGATGAATCTTTACATCCACTTACTAATTACTTCCTGAAAAAGCATGTAAAACGAGCGTCAACTATGAAAATAGTTGGTGAGTATCACAAGTTTATAAATCGAGGGTACAATAATGCTTTTCGTAAGTACAAGTACATTGCTTTAATGATAAAACAAAGTTGATTGCTATTAAGGTATACAAGTTTATTGCTAGAACGGGAAACACGTTTGTATGTGTATGAGAAAACAATGAGTCTCAACCAAACCTATGACTGAAGCCCTATCGAGATCTATGCTTATCGTTCCATAGATGAATATGGTATCATGCACTCCAGCGATTCGGGCGAGTGAGGAGTTGTCAATTCCTAATAGCGCTATCCATAACGACCATTGGCTCAAAGAGTTAATGGTTAGAGATAAGGGAAGGGCCTTAGTACGATAAGTTCTCATGTTCCGTGTTGCATAGACATACATAAAGAAACATAGCAATACAATAGCAATCATGTTTGATACAATTCAATTTAAATACAACATGCAAACAGTAGTTTTTCTGGACATGCTTTTCCACCCCAAAACATAAAAACCGAAAATAGGGGAGTGCGTGAATACTCACGATGTTTTGTGTAGACACAAGCGGTACTTCGGGATGCACCAACGTCTTACTACCGGGATCCTACGACATCAAACACACGCACTAGTGAGTTTCCATGTCGATATCTAATGCTAATATACTAAACTCTACATATAGGGAAATGCCAATTTATGTTTTAGTATTGGATTTTATATCAATTAGTTACACTTTTTCTGAAGTAATGAAATTCTATATATCGGGCGATTAATTACAACCTTGGAATATAAACTTTCCAAATTTTTAAGTCCTTATTACAACATAAATTCACGAAAATAGCATTCGAGGGATAAAAATTCTCAAACTTTTTATTTAACTGTTATTACACAATACTAAGCTGGGAAAATTATAAAAATGGATTTCCAAGCTGTTTAATTATATTTTATGATTTTTGAGCATTTATTTCAATAAAAATTGAAATAAATAGAAAACAGTTTCCAAAATTACCCAAACTTTTTATTTAATTGTTATTATACATAAATAGGCTGGGAAAAATATAAAAGATATTTTTCAGTGGGTATTTCTATTTTTCCTTGCTTTATTCCTTTAAATAGTCATTAATTAAAGAAATAATATTAAACAGTTAAAATAAATCACCATAAATTTTTGTAACATCATTTACAGTATAAATATCCTGGGAAAAATATCAAAAGTGGTTTTCATAATGTATAAACTGGTTTTGGGTATTTATGTATATTTAAGTGTATTTTAGTGCAATTAACTTTAGAAAATAAGAGAAAAATAGTTTACAGTAGAGAAAAATATTCAAAATTTTTATGTAACCTCCTACTCTATAATATTATATCCTGGTAAATTTTCATGAATTTTGGATAATCAGAACTATTTCTCCCATTTTTAGACCATTATAATTACCAAAAATTGGGAAAAATAGTAAAACATGATGGAAAATCTTGAAATTATTTTCTGGAGTCACCCATCACAGGTAAGGTATGCGAAAATTGTTAGATACAATTTTCACATCCTATAAAGTGGTTTTGTAATTTATCATGTCCTAAATAAAAGAAAATTAGAAATCATATGAAACAGTAACAAAAATTGCTGAAATTTGGTGAGGGGTCATTATTCCCCATAAGGATCATCCATGAATTTATTTAGGATTTATTGACCTCTGGAAGTATTTTATATGATTTATGCCCTTGGTTTTAGCAATAATTCTAATAAATCAAAGAAATAACAAAAGCTCTTGAAATTTTCCAGATTATCTCATGCATGCAAGGGCTTTCAAAAGGAAAAATGTAAAAAAATGTATTCAGAAGAGAAATGAGGGTAATGATTCCAAACAATTTAAGAAAAGTTGCATGCAATAATGCATGAAGTGTAAATGTGGCTGAAGTTCATGAATTTGTGTAGCCCATTCAGTGAGGTTTTAAGCCACGAAATTTCAACCATAATTCACTAGATATGTTAAGTTTCTAAGGTATTTTTCCTCAGATTTATGGTTGGGTTTAAGGCCATTGTTTAAGCAAGATAAAAATAGTGATCACAGAAAAAGAGCTGTATGCGCAACCTTTTTGTAAAATCTGCTAAAAATCGGATATTTAATATTTTACAGTGAGACCAGTTGGGTTTGAAAGTTAACTCGTGGAACTAACCAATACAAAAAGAATATCATGATTTGGTTAAGAAATGACTGAGTTATGACTGTTCAAAGTCGAACAAAGTAATCTGGCAGATTGCATGTTTGCTTGTGTGCATTATTAGGGTATTTCAACAAGAACATCATGCATGTCTTTGGTAAGGCCCGATTTCTAACACATGCATGGAATGAATGAGCATCCAAGATGTACTAGAAATGGTTTAAATGCTTTTGTTCATGCATGAACACAAAAGAAATGGAGAAGAACATGAAATATTAGGTTTTGATGTCACATGATCATATGTGCATCTTTTCCACTCCTTGCATGGGTTTGATCCCGGATTTTCACCATCTCTAACACATGCATTGTGTTATGGTGAGAATCTACAAACCACAAGGGGAGAATAAAGATTTCTAGCCATGGAAAGGCATAGAATCCGAAAAGTAGAGAAGACTAAGAAGAAAAAGAGGTTTAACCATGAAACTATGGAAGAAGATGTTGTTGTTTACCTTGGTTTTGACCTTGAGAGAAGTAAGAACACTTCAAGGGCTTCACAATCTCGAAATTTTGCAGAGAAATGAGAGGATTTTCGTGAGTTTAGAGAGAGGGAAGAAGAGAGTGAAGTGTGTGAAGAGAGTGAAGTGAGAGAGTGAAGAGGGAAGAGGTGGAGTAAGGGTTTAAGCTTAATGATTGTGTTTTGGGGAAGAGAGAGGGCATGGGGAGAGGTGATGGCCGGTTTTTGCATGCATTTTGGCCTCCTCTCTCCTAAATTTTAAACTTTATAAACTTCCCTCCTATATTTTATATAAAAACATTCATTTTTATAAAATGTTTATTAAGCAATTTGATTTATTTAAAAATCTTGTTTTCAACAAATAATTTATGATTAATACTTGTAATTTATATTTCTAGTTCATTGGTATAATCCATAATTTGATTAATAAAATTTGATATTAGGAAGTTTATAGCCAAATTTTATAAAGTTTTTAAGCTTTATAATTTATAACTTTGGATTTTTGGCTCTTTAGGGTTTTTGGAATATTGTTTGATATTCAACAACATGTTGAAGTATAATTAGAATGTTTTAATTTATTTTTAGAGTTTTATACCCTATTTCAATTATAACAAAGCTTGAAGCTTTATTCTAATTATAGTATTGGCATTTCCTATTGTAGCTAAGCAACTTACTAGAATTGTAAGTATCAAGTATATTAGTCCTAGACCTTAGTTGGATCCTAGTTTATGCAAGATTTTTGACCTAATTTATACTACTAGGTCATGGCATGTTGTGCATGAATGGTTATTATAAAGATGCATGAGTCCAAGAATGACCTGAATTGGCAGTTGTCACAGTATCCCCCACTTAAAAAGAATTTCGTCCCGAAATTCATTCTATGTCATCGCTTGTCATCGCAAGGGAAAGTTGCGGATACTTTTCCTTTATGAAGTCCTCGCGCTCCCAGGTGTACTCCGGCCGCGTTTTGAGTTCCATCGAACTTTCACAATCGGGATCTTACTCCGCTTAAGTTGTTTTACCTCCCTGTCAAGGATTTCTATCGGTTCCTCAACGAAGCTCAGCTTATCATTGATCTTAATTTCCTCCAGGGGTACTATCAATGTTTCGTCGGCTAGACATTTCTTAAGGTTGGAGACGTGGAATGTGTCGTGAATGGCGCTTAACTCTTGGGGCAATTGGAGTTTATACGCTACTGGACCAATCCTTTCAAGGATTTCAAAGGGTCCAACATATCTCGGGCTTAGTTTTCCTTTCTTACCAAAACGCACAAGCCCTTTCCAAGGCGACACTTTTAAAAGTACCTTGTCTCCTACTTGGAATTCTAATGGTTTTCGACGATTATCCGCATAACTTTTCTGACGATCTCTAGCAGCTTTAAGCTTATCCTTGATGATAGCAATCTTGTCGGATGTTTCCTGGATAAGTTCGACTCTAGTCAACTGTCTGTCTCCGATTTCTGTCCAGCATAAGGGCGAACGACACTTGCGTCCATACAATGCTTCATATGGAGCACATTGGATACTCGTGTGGTAACTGTTATTGTAGGAAAACTCAATTAGGGGTAAATGAGTATCCCAATTTCCTTTGAACTCAATGACACACGCTCGTAGCATGTCTTCCAATGTTTGTATTGTTCTCTCTGTTTGCCCATCTGTCTGAGGGTGGTAAGCTGTGCTCAAATCTATCTTGGTTCCTAGTGCCCTCTGTAACATCCACCAAAATCGAGATGTAAAACGACTATCTCTATCAGAAATGATAGATAAGGGTACACCATGCAGAGAAACAATTTTGTCGATGTAGATTTGGGCCAATTTTTCCATCTTGAAATCTTCTCGAATGGGGAGAAAGTGTGCAGATTTCGTCAGTCGATCCACTATGACCCAAATTGAGTCATGACCTTTAGCAGTTCTAGGAAGTTTGGTAACAAAGTCCATAGATATTTGCTCCCATTTCCATTGGGGAATTTCAGGTTGTTGCAACAACCCGGATGGTTTCTGATGTTCAGCTTTGACTATTGAGCATGTCAAACACTTCCCAACGTACAAGGC